TAAACAAACTCCGTGGCTTTAGTCCGCAAGCGAACTATACCGACCGAGCGACCGCTGCTTGTCGGCGAAGTTAGTGCCAACTTTAGCGGATAGAGGGTGTTAGGTGGTCAGTGCAACGCATCCCCACTGCCATTAATCTCGGTTTCCTAGACCGGAGCCGCTGTTTCCTTGAACTCGCACCTCAATTATCCTAACGCGGCTGAGTGGACCTCGTTTCAGACCCACAACTTCTTAGAAAATCTGATAACGCCGGGAATCGAACCCGGACCTCTGGATCTGTAGCCAGGAACCCTGAACACTAGACCACAGAGGCAGTCGATAAATATGAATTGTGTACAAAAATTCTCGACATTCAAGTCTTAGCGGCCTTGAACCTCCAGTTTCTATGTTAAAATCCTAATATCACTCTTATTTGAAGTGTATTAAGTGTTTTCATGACGAGGCACACGAAGACGATGCGAGAAAACAGATTTATCTCTCCTGAGGTTCGTATAGCGAGAAAATATACGCTGAAGGAGATTTGTATTACTGTTGATAGCTCCTGATATTCATTCCTGTTTCTGCGTACCTTTCATTGTTACTGAAATAACATCGGTGGTTTAGAGCAGAGTCGACAAGAAAGCCAGTTTAATTACAAGCATGTTTATTACTCAGTAAACAAACATGCGTCACTATTCAAAGCATGGAATTTCCAGCGCTAATGCTGTAGGGCAGCATAAGCAAGCGGGACACCTGCAGATACTTGCGTAGATGCTGACTAACCAAGGTGAACCACAGACTGCGCAAGGAGCAAGGTGACATTAGAACTGTTGAAGGTAGAGCAGTGGTTCACAACCGTTTCTGATTGACGAGCTTGCCAAGGTAACAGAGGATTTCCCCAATGTCGTTACCCCATCCGTCTCCATTGAATTACTTGCGGTTCAGTAATTGAATTTATTAAGTGATATGAAAATGAAGATGTCATAATAAATCATATTAAATAATTTCATGGCCGCCTCTGTGGTACAGTGGTCAGAGTTCCCGGGTTCGATTACCGGCGCTACCACATTTTCTGAGAAGCAGTGGATCTGGAACGGGGTCCACTTAGCCTCATGAGGATAATTGAGGAGCTATTTCAAGGAAATAGCAGCTCCGGTCTAGAAAACTGAGATTAACGGCTGTGGGGAACCGTGGAGCTAACCACATGACACTCTCTATATGAAAAAGTTGGTACTAACTTCGCCGACAAGCGGCTGTCGCTCGGTCGGTATAGTTCGCTTGCGGACTACATGCCACGGAGTTTTTTTTTATTAAAAATTTTCAGTTAAAAGTTATGCACAGAGACATGTGAAGTAAAGCTGTCTGACATATCAGTCTTCTAAGGATGTGAGGGTTATTACATCGATTCCGAAACCCCGTTCATAACTGTTTCACCCCAGTGCATCACCTTTGATTGAGAAACATTTAAATGGATATGGCTGGAAATGAGTGTAGACGCTTGTAAATGCCCTCTTCTTGGTTCCAGAGTGCTTCAGTTTTATGAAATTATTTCCATAATTTTTAAGTCCTATCTATCTAATGCAGATCCTAAAGGAAACAGGTATCGATTGGCATGAAAGAAGATTGATTAGCAAATTGTACATGGATCAGAAAG